CACACACACACACACACACACACACACACACACACACACACACACACGTTTTTATGACCCTTTAATCCTTTCCTTCAGGGTGGGGTTGGGGGAAACAAAATGGAGCCTAGTGTTTACTGGCCAGATGATTTTCCTGATGCCTATGTGCAGTTCACAGCAGATATTTTCTCTTTGCACCTGGATATAGATATAATATTGATATTGTGCAATATCAGAACATTACTTTTTGCCTTTGCCTTGTCTGCTGATATTACTATTGTTTTCTATTGTTATTGTTTCCCTATTGTTGTTTTTGTCTCTTTCATGATTTTTGTGGAATGCTAACTACCTTATTGAAAAGGTTTTCCTAAGTTCCAGGCAGGACAAAATATTAGGGGACCCCCCCTGTGTTCCCAATTGCATCATGAATATACATTTCCTAAATATATATTTTTAAATAAAGGGATGTCTTTTTTAAAAGGATGATATAGATCTCCTTCTTGAGCACGGGGTTGGACTAGAAGACCCGCAACATCCTTTTCAACTGTATTATTATATGTTGTATGTTCCAGAAGATTATAGTTAATATAAGATACAACAATTTGACTTCACTATACTACAGTATGGATTTTCAGAAATACTAGATTGAATTAAAAATGCTAATATGGAAGTAGCCAACTTTATCTTCTAATTCACTACCATTACTAATGTTTGCCTTTAGTGTGTGGCGGTATGAAGCACCAAAAGGTGATATCAATTTGCCACTTTTTAGTGCTTCACACAACTTTCTATGTCAGCTGACTTTTTTGTTTTGTGACCAGTGGTGGGATTCAAATTTTTTTACTACCAGTTCTGTGGGCATAGCTTGGGCGTGGCTTGGTGAGCATGGCAGGGGAAGGATACTGCAAAATCCAATTCCCTCCCCACCCCATTAACCTGCTTTCCAGCTCCGTTCTCCTGTGTAGGGCAACAAAAGAAGAGCCAGCTGATCAGCTGGGACTCAGGAGGCAGAGAATGGATGGGGGCAGGGCCAGTCAGAGGTGATATTTGCTGGTTCTCCAGACTACTCAAAATTTCTGCTACCAGTTCTCCAGAACTGGTTAGAACCTGCTGAATACCACCTCTGTTTGTGACTTTATAAGATGGCGGCTACCTTGCGAATAAGTAGCTTTCAACTCATAGCACCTCTAGTGTTTACAATACATCTTCAAAAGTCCAAATGGGCTAACCAGCCAGATATCTCTTTCCCTAAGCCATGCCAGATTCAAACCAGTGAGGGCAAAAAGAAACAAGATTCTTCCCCCTTTTTTTCCCTATTACCTGTCCATTTGCTGACAATTTTTATATAAGGTCTCCAGGGCTGCAGAATTCCCATATTCTCACCATTCCTGACTTGTCCCTGGAATGCTCATTGTGGTATTTCTGGAGCATCCATGGTCACAAAGCCGACTGCCTGTTAAATTGTTTCTATATTGGTATGATAGGCAAGTCACTACCCTGTTTTACATCACTAGAACGATGTAAGAAGTACGAAGAATTGCAACATTCAATAAATTACAAACCTTAATTCTCTAAAGAAAAGTTGCCTTGGAAAGAAGGCTACTATAAAGAGATACTGGTTTTCTTGTTACTGGAGAAAGCAGTGCTATATATAATAACTGCCAGTTAGATTTGTGCTTGCCTGTTAGCATATTTGTTTTTACAAGGGTAGAGCTGAGCCATACTTCTATTTAAAAGTATTGACAGATGGCTAAATCCACATACATCAAAACTTCTCCTCTTTCCCTCAGCCCACACTGAGGGAAGTGATTGGTAGACCACATGACCTGGGACAGAGGAACTGTCATAAATTCATGCTAGTTATCAAGCACCCAAATGTTGATCGCATGATTATGGGATGCTGCAATGGTTGTGAGTGTAAAAACCGGTCATAAGTCATTTTTTCACTGCTGTTGTAACTTCGAATGGTCACTAAATGAATGGTTGTAAATTGAGAACTACCTGTATTGAATGGTATTCAAGTAACAAATATTTGAAGAGAATTTGTGGAAATCTTTCCCTTAGTACTATAGCTACAATATATAAACTACAAAAATGTTTAACTTCTTGTTGCCATCCAGAGGTTATGTGGATTTCTGCAAATATGATATAACCATCATTGTCAATTGAGCTTATATAATACAGTATAGGTCACTGTGCCTGAATAAGTGGATAAATATCAGCATATGTATGTTACTAAATATGTTCATGGTAAAATCAAACTCTCTTGGTTCATTCCAGATGTGTTGCATTCCTTGCAAACATAATTTTAGGAAATTTAATACAATATATCTGGTGGATACACAGTTGGGAAAGGCTAGTTACTGTAAATCCTTTTGCTCTATGATAATATAATATTAGTCCCTTAATTTTTAATGATATGTACCTCAAACAATTTAGGATCCAATAAAACCTTGGAAGAAAAGTAGTGTTCAGTAGATTAAAAAGAATTAAGAACTATTTACTAATTCTTTGTATAATACAGTAGATAAGTTAAGGTCACTGTTTGAATTAAAGCTTAGGATGATTTTTCCAGCTGATTCTTTAGAACATTCCACAAATGCTCTTCTCTTTTTATCTTGGAGTCCTGATGGAATTTATACTGTGAGGAATGCAATGGCATTCTTCAAACTATTAATGATGCTTTTAAAGGCAACAGAGCAATTTAAGTAGCAGAACAGGTGTAAGACAGTTAATTCTTGATTTGGAGAGCTGTCTCTCTCTCTTTGGGTGTCTGTGTGTGTCTGTGTAAAATATGTTTCTTTTAAGTTGTATGTTTTTAATTGGAATCAGAGCTATAATTGCAGTAATCCCCTCATTCTACCAAATTAAAATAACATCTGATTGAGAAATTTATATCATTACATCTTTTGCTTCCCCAAAGCAATTGAGAATTGATCACTCTCTCCAAAATTATGTAGCTTTGTTCAAGTGCACTTTTGCCAGCCACAATGTGCATTTATCTTCTCTGTCAATTTGTTAATCAGATGCTGAAATTCTGAATGCACGATTCAGGCCACATGAATGAAAGTGATCGTGTTGCTCTTTATTTGTGTGCCAATTTTTCAGAGGGAAAACCATATTTAAAATAAGATGTAAACAAATACATTACATTCACTTATCTTCATTTACAGGTAGTCCTCGACATATGGTCACAGTTGAGCCCAAAATTTCTGTTGCCAAGTGAGACAGTTGTTAAGTGAGTTTTACCCCATTTTACAACATTTCTTGCCACACTTGTTAAATGAATCACTGTAGCTGTTAAATTAGTAACATGGTAACAGCAGTTCAATCAGAGTTCAGTTCTTGTTGTTTAAATTCTTGTGCTTTAGATTTTTTAATATATTTTTTTCTAATTACCCATTTTTATTCCAGATTGAAATATCTTATTCACACACATTTAACATAAACCATTAGAACAAACACATCCATTTCTTTAAAATAAATTTATTTAGATACTGTTTCACACTGTAAGATATCAATCATTGTATTGTTATTTGCATCAAGATTATTTTTGAAAATGACTTCCTAGCTATAATTTAAGAACAAGTATATTTCAGGCAACAGGCACTTCTTTGAATTTATTAAAGTTATCAGGTTCTTTTCCAATGACAAGGCACACAACTTGTTCTTCAGTGACCCCCATTATACCTGGAAACTCTGGGAGTTATTGTCCCAATACAGGTAGTCCTCAATTTACAACCATTTGCTTGGTGATTGTTTAAAGTTACAACAGCACTGAAAAAAAGTGACCT